ACTAAATTACTTTATATTACTTTATAAATTACTTTATACTACTATTAAATTACTTATATACTAAATTATACTACTTTTACACTACAGTCAAATTATACTACTACTAAAAAAGAACATCGTTAATACTATTTCGCAGACTAATGAAATCGGCAAATTGCGATGAACGTAAGAGACCAAACTGAGCACAATATCAAAACGATAACATCAACAAATTTGTTTCAAATGAAACGTTATTTAGCAATATGAATCAGATCAAATCAGATCAGATCAAATCAAATCAAATCAAAACATTCACAAATGAATAAACGATTTTGACCCAACCAAATAAAATATAAATTCTCAAATTACGATTCGACCGACACATCAATTCAATTCAATTGTACAACATGCTAAACTTTACTATTGATCTATCAAGCACGCAGAGAGCTTTTCGGCTACTCTCCATCCCACACTGCCAAATGATTTCTCAAAAGAGGGACTCAAAAGCAGCCCACTCAAAAATACACACGATCCCAAACGCTATTATCGTTAGCTGCGCGGAAACAAGAATGCCAATGAAGGAAGAATGTGATATCAGTGATATTGGTGATAACAGAGAGGTGATAACGTAATGAGTTTGATTTGCTGATTAAATAAATAAATAAATTAATTAATTAATTAATTAAATAAAACCATTAACAATAATAAGAGTGAACAGTATTAATAGTTCATCGTATGAATTTTATTAGTTATTTCCTCCTTCTTTCTTTTTTTTCGCTGCTTTTGGTTCTTCATTGTTGATCAGTTGCTTTTTCAAAGCCTGGAAAGAACAATCAGCTTCGGATTCTAAATAAGAGATTTTATTGGGAAAATGATGGAAAATCTGAAGTTTTCTTAGAGCGAACACCTTTCATGGCGGTTCTTTATGTGGACGATTTAGAGGCTCTTTTTTCTTTTTGAGTTGTTCCGAGAGCATTTTTCGTTGGTTTCTGAGCAAATCCCAAAGCCGAAGGGCATGCACAGTCATAGGTAGGGTTTGCATGGGATTCCGGGATCCCGAGATTTGACTTCTGATCGCCATCCCGGGATGTAAGTTTTGAAAAATACTGGGATCTCGGGACTTGATGAAGCAAATCATTTCGTAAGATTTTGGCAATAAATTCATCTAGAATCACGCATTAATCATTCTCAGATCATTCAGATGTAGTAAAATGTGTTGTGCATCACCCTTTTTTAAACACGATGCTGAAAAAGTTTGTAAAATGCTTCGATGAGATTGGGCAGACCCTTGCCGCTCTAAAACTCCCACAAGAACTCAGTGAGCACGATCGGAATGAAACAACAGATTTATGCAATGCATTGGCAATTTTCGAAATTGCTACGGACACATTGTATCGTCGAGATATCAATTTGTTCAAAGCAGATAAAACGCTGGAGTTCTTCGTCGATGTATTAAAGAAATTGAATACGAATATCCCTAATGACCTTTTGCGTGCACTTGTGCTAAGGATCAACGAGCGTAGAATATCAATTTTGGTGCACTTGATGAGATATATGAACGATCCTGATTATGAGCAGATGGNGATTATATGGGGTATGCGATTGTGAGAGAAAATATTGTGAAGCTGATGGTGGATTTGTCTTCGAGACTGTTCGGTGAAAAGAGAGAACAAAATGATAACGCTGCGTGTCTCTTTGATAGCAACAGACTCTTCTCAGAATACGGACGATGATATACCTCTCTCACAGAAAATAGAATTGATGCTGAATCCTGAAACTCCCGAAAGGTGTGAAAGTTCTGTGAACTTTAAAAGAAGCAATGTCTTGGCGAGCAGAGTAATTTCTGAAATGCCTTTGTACGAAAAGACAAAGGAAATGGCATCGAATGTAAAAAAATTGTACGAGTCTATCAAAACGACCACAGCAACGAGTGTCGAAAGCGAGCGCGCTTTCTCAATGCCTTCTTTTTTTTTCAAAACTAAAAGCGCGAATAAACGATGGAACTATCAACGATGTCACGTTTCTCAGAGCTTATTGCAAACAGCACTGAATGTTATGTTGAATGATAATTGTTGGATGATCGTTGAATAACCGCGCTGAATTGTATGCTTCACGTCATTGAATAATTCGCTGAATAATTTGTTGAGTGATACGAATATTAATTGTCGCGGATGTTATTTTGTATTTGCATAATTTGTTGAATATGTTGCATTTGTAGAATATTTTGTAATAAACTCTTTTCTGATTAACTGTGATCATATTGGTTCAAAAAAAAGTGTTTAAACACGTTACGCATCGATATTTCAGAAGTTGTTCGATCCCGGGATAATCCGGGGATTATATCCCGATTCTGGGACTGCAAACCCTAGCCATAGGTCAGCGTGTGATTGAGCGCTTGAATCATCAAAATTTATACCAATCATATAAAGGAAAAGATCGTTTTTGAGGATAATGCATTGTAGAATAATTGGATAACTTATAACCATTTTGTAGGAAATAAAATTCGCTATTGTATGTAGCATTTTGTTCTCAAAAATGTGTATTCTAAAAAAACTTGAGCGGTCTTAAAGTAGAAAATCTTATGCAGAAATGACAGCAACATTTATGTAGTACTCAATATCAGTTTAAAGGAACAGGAATCGAGTAAAGTGATTATGCACATCTTGTACGGCTTGAAAAACCCTATGAGATGAGCTTTCTTATTTTAAGGAAATCGGTGCACTTTTGGGGGTTTGGGAGATCTGGAAGTGAAAAAGTTGCAGTTGAATGCAGATTACCTATTGATCAACTTGAGCCAGGAGCTCGGAAAGGGCGAAAGAAAACGCGGCACGTGAAGGTGGACAAGGCCTTAATGAAATATACACACAAATATGGAGTTTTCCTTCTCAATATTGCGATTACTATCCTCTCATATTATTGTTTAGTAGCGATATGAGAAAATGTATTTTATCAAATTGTACTTCTTGATATATAATTTGATAAAGCATTGATATTTACCATTGCAGGTGCGTTTGTCTGTACCCCGCCCTGCTATCCCATTGGCTGTGTGGTGCCAGATTATGTGGTATCTTCACAGAATACAGTATCTTCTAGTTGACGTCGACAAATCGTCTCTTCTCAGCAGGAAACAAGCTCAGACCACGACAAACCAACCAACCAGTTCATAACGATCGCGGTTATTGTTGCTGCTATTAGGTGTTCCATTATTAGTACTGTTATTGCTTACGTTCTTATTATTGTTGTTTATGATTGCTACCGTTATTAATATTATCATTGTCAGTTCGAGCTATATTAGAGTTTTATTGCTGCTGTTCACACAACTGTTATTGTCCTTATTATTATCATTGCCGTTTCTTTTTCATTATCACAATAATTTCAATCGTCATTACTGTTATAATCATCATTACATGCACTGTTATCACTTCTCCGCACATCGCGAACATTTCATGCATAATTCAGTTTTGCATCTATCGAAGTGCTGTTATTTTTGGAAATGAATATCTAATTGTCTAAACTCATTGCTGATCGATGAATTGTTTTTATGGATAAACTCTTTGATGAAAATATCACGCATCATTTCTTAACTGTTGATAACTTATCAATTTTGTTTCATCGGTCCCACATTTTTCTTCTGCCTTTATCTCTGGATAAATACTTCTCATAAGGTTGCTCGAATCTCTCCTGAACAGTGTTCTCTGTTCGTCTCACTTTGGCGCGATGCAGTCGAGACTCCGCCCTCCTTCGGCCAATACGCTCGTATGGCGAAGTGTGTACACACCTAAGCAGGTACTACGACTAATTATCCTAGACCCACTATTTCAATCCGTTCAGGTTTATTTGAAATATTTTCAAAAGATTTTTGGATAGGTTCGCGAAGTTCTAGGTTGGATTGTTCAGTTTGAAAGTTTTGTTAATGACGAAAATGGTATGGATTGAATTTGGTTTGATGGATAAGCGGATCTGGTGACTAAATTCGAATGGCTTTTGACAATGAGTTTCGGCAGTGATTTTTTACAAACGATTTTATAACGTTCATATGATATCACCATGTGTTGTATTATAGTGAATTATTGTGCAAACGTGGTGAAAAGATAATGAGTGAGCGTAACGTGGAAAGACTGGTTCGTAAATATATTGATAAACGTGATGACAAATTAATTGATATTGTCGAACGATGTATTCGTAAAGGTATTATTTATGTATTACTTAGTTCATTGATTTTTTCTAAACTAATGTTCCTATATCGTTTTTATTAAAATAATCGGTGTCATTCGTTTAATTGATCTTGTTTAATTGATCATTCAAGTTGTAAATCATGCCATGTTGAATATTTCATCATGTAGCAGTGGTAATCGTGCGGTTTGCCTTGAGACTTATAGACTGAACACAAAATTTACAAAATGGTTTAGCCATTATACTCCACGCTATGATGTACGAGAAGCACGGTGCATAATCAAGTCTCTGCCTAAGTTTGAGCCTAAGATTCGTAACGAGTACGTTACCAAGATGCGGTCGAGATTGGTGGGTAATTTTGTAGTTAACGTGTCTGTGAAGTGGGAAGGTGCAAGAAGCCTTAGCATGAACCTGGATAAGCTTCAGACTTGCAACTAAGGCTTCAGTGTGAATCTGAGATTAACTTCAATCTCAGGGTAAGTGTCTGGCTAAGCCTCGCGATTATCCTCAGCCAAAATCGGGGACTAGCTTTATCTCAAGGTTTGTGTGGAGACCGGTTCCCTTTCATAGACACCAACTACAAAATTACCATTGTTTTACACCATGTCTATAGCAGTGTTGACTGAAAGTCAAATATTGCTTAAGGAAGATAATAAATTCATCGTTTGCATCGACGAAGTTTAATTCATTGAATTGAAAAGATATTTTTTGCAGTTGGTGTTTGAAAAATGAATGTGGTTTTGAGGATTATTTGAGAGTGTTCCTTTCAGTGTGGTCATTCGAAATATCTCGCAACCTACTCTCGATAAACTGTCTCAAGATTCGACGAAATTCATTTTGTATGCGAGTTATGAAACTGGATAAACGAAAATGTTGACTGAGTGGTATTCGTAGAGTTGACGTAGTTACGCAAAGCATCTAGCGCGATGATTCAGAATGCGATTAACACTTGATATTAGACCCCTAATCCCTTATTAAGCATGACTCAGTTCTGATTAGTGAGTAAGGTTGAATAAAAACTGAATCTTACTTTGAGCCTGAACAGGAATTTGAATCCTCGTGGAAGTTGTCCTTCTTACCTACATTGACCGTAATACTTAATTCATATTGTATGAGTCTGTAAGCTAATTGATCTCCTAAATCTATGCTCTACTCTATTCATTAATTGTTAATCAATTTTACTGGAAAGAAGACGTTGGTCGAACATTTTCTTATGACCAGAGACGAACGAAATTGGATATTATAGAGGCAAAACTTATAATATTGAAGAAAAATAATTAGTCACGGGAATGATGTGGCAAACGGGATGTGATGATCATTTTGAGGTTATGATCATGATCGTATGAAGGAACGGATCAGTGAGCATGTTCGTGACAGTTCAGCAAGAAAGCGTCTTATCGAGGCCTTATCGAATGCGTTTCCTCAGTTTGCCTATAAAAGTAAACATCCGGTGAGTATGATATGTTAATCGATCCATTACTTTATTCATAGAAATAGGCTGATGTATGCTCGAATAATTTTATCAATATTTTGCAATTGTCGTCCTGCAGTGATGCTTCTATTGAGTCACTTTAGTTTGAAGAGAAGAAAGAAATGAAAAAAGAAGAACGGAAGGAGAAAAAACCGAAGATGGAGGAATTACCTATTGCTACAGTGCAACCGCCATCTGCGCCAAGTATGCTCATTGCACCAAAATTGGCTTCGCTTCCGCTAAAAACTGAACCAAAAACCGAGGAAGTAACCGAAGAGGTATATTACTATCCATGTTTTGATCCACAACATATGTTTCAACTGATCAAATTAATTTATAATTTGCATCCAGTGAAGAGCTTAATCATTTCATTGATCGGTGATTTGGTAAATTGAAAATTTAAGGAATTGCGTAGTAAAGAATTAATGTATCAAGCACAAATGGCAATAGAAGAACGTAAGCGTCAGTTGAATTTAACTGCGAAACCAGGCATTGTTGCGCAGTCCGTTATATCAAAAGCATCCAAACTGAATGTGAAGGAAGCGAGTATGTTCATGAATTATTCTATGGAGAAAATTAATCGGTATGTTTCTTGCACGTCTTGTTTATTTACATGTTCGTATTCAGATAACATTCTTTTTCTTAACATGTTCAAGAGAATCAGCCAGTGTTTAATATCAAATTTGTGAAGGGTAAAAGAATTGAAAGAAAAATTGGCTCGTTCAACTGCTTTACCTCAGCTAACGAAGAAACAATCGTCGGAAAAGGCCAAAGCAGAACCGGAGCAGGAAATTGTCGAGTATCTGGATCCTCGTATCAGGTACGCATAAGTGTCATTATCATTCGATTCCCTCTTTTATTATCAGAGTCGTTTGATTATTCAAATTGTATGGGATCGCTAATCAGACGTTCTTTAATCGTTAATTCTTTGCAGCTTAAAATCAGCGCAACGTAAAGTTAGAACAATAACGTTTCATGATAAAGGTGAATTCGAGGCATTAGCACATCGAGAACGAGCAAAAGCACGCTTGACGATGCTGCAATCTGAAATCAGCCATATCGCCAAAAGGACTGGTATGTCATCCTCTGTCAAATTGGCTATGCTTACACCGTCATCCACATCTGCGGTATGTGCATGTTTATTCGACGGTTTAAAATTAGTTTATTTTATTGTGGTTTGTTTTTAACGCCTTTTTATCCTTCCTTCCAACCAATTATCATTAATTTCCTAGTGATTCGATATAAAATTATTGTCGAAACGTGAATAAACATTGTTACTTATTGAAACAAACGTTTCATTGATATTATGACATAGCTTCATTTCAACTCATGAACGGAATTACGTCATGGATTCAATTCTTCATTGTTGATAATGATTGCAGCAGATAAGTGAAGTACCGACTATTGAATGGTGGGATGAAATAGTGATTAGAGCAGATAACTATGATGCACTACCAGATAAGAATTTGAACAGTGATGAGCGATACAGTGAAACGATCACAAATCTTGTTGAACATCCAATANACAACTGAAACCACCAGATGAACCGCTACATCCGCAATATTTGAAGGTTGGTTCATTTCTATTTTAGTTCGAGATCTCGAGCGCATTCATTTACTTTGCATTCGAATATGTTTATCATTGCTGTTGAGTATCAGTGAAGATAATACCTGTGAAAATAACAAATTTAATCGTAACATTAACATTTCCTATGAATATCGTCAAAAATCGTGTTTTACGCCAACAACAGCTTATTTTTTAAGGTTTATTTAACAAGTAAAGAACGCAAAAAGATCCGTCGACAAAACAGAAAGGAAGCACAAAAAGAGCAAACTGAAAAGATCAGGTGATTATGTTTCGTTTTAGTTGATTTGGTGGCTGTTTTTCTCGTTTATTTTGCTGTTCTTTTGGCAACACTGCTCCATCACCATTTTAGTATTCTGATTGGTTGTTAGTTCAGTATTATTGATATTATTAATAGTAAGTTTCCTTCGAGAATGGTTCAACACTCCAACGCTGACATGTTGAGAAAAACTGAACAATAAAAAAAAAGAAATTAAAAAATAGAACATAGACACAAACAAATAGAATTGTAATGTATGACTTTAAGGCTGGGATTAGCGAGAGCGCCGGAACCGAAGGTGAAACTGTCGAATCTGATGCGTGTACTGGGGTCTGAAGCCGTTCAGGATCCGACGAAAATGGAGGCGCATGTTCGCAAACAAATGGCACAACGTCAGCGAAAACATGAAAGTGCGAATGCTCAACGCAAGTTATCAAAGGAACAGCGCTCAGAAAAGAAAACGAAGAAACTCAAAGAAGACACATCACTGTGTGTTTATGTCACTGTTTACAGGTTATCTTCTGTTTCATTCACCAAATTCACTTTGATATTGCTACTCTTATATTATTTCTTTGAAGAGTAAAGTCGTTGGCGCATCCGGCTAAAAAATTCAAAGTGGAAATGAATGCGAAACAGTTGCAAATGACTGGATTAATACTACTTCATGCCAATATAAATCTCGTGATCGTTGAAGGAGGTAAGCTCAGTCGTTGTTTTTATTAGTAGTTTATGAGTAATCGTGTAATAAATTTATATCTTTGATGCCAACTAAAGTGGTACGCTCAATGTTATTTTCAAGGTCCTAAACAACAAAAGGTGTTCAAAAATTTAATGTTGAATCGGATCAAGTGGGCTGATGAAATAATTGGACAGAAGAAGGAAGTGGAGGACAAAGATGTTGCGGGTGAGAGGAATCAGTGCTCTTTGGTGAGTCGGATTTGCCGACCTTGAATTTCATTCTGCTGTCTCATTCCAACAAAAAATATCTGTTCTAGCAATCAAAAGAGAGGAGATCGCAATTATGCATATACTTTTCTGCAGATTGTTTATCTTTGAAGTTATCAAGATTCGAAGGAGTTGACCATCGTAAGAAATTGAGAATGTGTAGCATAAGTTTACGTTTCTTATGCTAACAACGATAATTGCAGATCTGGGAAGGTGTAATCAAAAAACGAAATTTTACGGATATAAAGTGCGTGAGTGCTACTTTAGAGAAACAGGCACGTGAATTGGTGGAGAAGTTTGATGTGGGACACTACTGGAATCTTGCTTATAGCACTTCATTGCTCAAAGATGATTGATAGCGGCCGTTAATAGAATCAGTGAGTTTTGATCGGACGGTCGTTATCATTGCTTGATTGGTGAAATCGCTGAGAACTGAATTAAAGAAAGTGAAGTTGGAGTCGTTGTTCACATCATTGCTGTCATCATGTTAATACCGTAATTATCGCTACTGTTCACGGGATGAGATTCTATCCAATGACACGTAAAGTTTCACTGACGGGTTTATAGCTATCTTCTAAGCATTCGCATGAAAAGAAAATGAGAAGGTGTAGAAGTTTTTCGAAACAAGTCAATAACCATTGAAGACATCAAAAAATTTTTTTGCTGCTGATCTCTTATAAACATCTTTATAATATACAGATGATCGTACATCAAACGATACTATTAAAATGTTGTAATTTGTTTTTGCATTCGTTTTCAAGTTCGTTTCTTTCTCAAATATTGTTTTTCATTATCGTTCTGCTATTATTTGTACCGCGCTATGTTAAAAGCCAATCTATTCAGCACAACAATGAAATCTAGTGCTGCCGTTCTTATGGATGTTGTTCTATTGTGTTGATGGTGATTACCACCATTTACTTGTTCTTGAGTTTATTCGAATTTGATATGAATAAATCACTGATTTTAAATAATCGATAAAGTCCAGCTCGTTACGATCTGTTTTCAAGCAGAATCACAATTATTTGGAGGAGATGCGAAGTCTGTCAAAGACGATAGCTTTTATCATCTGAATTCACAAGTGGAGCTCTGTAAAACTGATTATTAGTTCAGGCTCATTTGTTGGGTTCAGAAAGGTATTTCGCAGAAAATAAGAACTGATTCGTTATCAGCATGAGGATCTGTGCGATTTGAATTAAGTGTCCTCTGAAAGTGTTCGATTTTTATTTAGGTATTGTTTCTGTCCTGCTTTACCTTGAAATGTTAACTGCTTGATTTGTGAGGATCAAACTCAATGCCTGGAACAAACTTGTGGTTGACCACATGAACTGAAAAAATTTTCCGTTGACGTCTGTCCGAAGGCATTTTGCGAATTCAGTGTTGCGGGAAACTGTAAGCACTGAAGTGTGATCTGTAATCGGTCAATCGGATGCGGTCATTACCTACCGTAAACGTAGGAAATCGTTTATAGAATACGTGTTCGATTTTCTGTTTTGATGGTATGTATAGAATGTAGTGGTGCAGGAATTGGGGAATTTCTGGGACCCCGTCGCCGACAATTTTGAGCCGACCACACTTTCAGAGTTCCGACTTTTTTTTCCATCTCCGCACCACAATTAGTATAAGTGCACAAGTTTGGTTTATTCTGCTATTGGCTGAATACAGTTTGAAAGGATGCATTCGATCGATTATGCTGCTGAAAGTATGAAACATTGTTTCGCTCAGATTATTGTGCAAAATGAACATATGTTTAGTTGGTATATGAGGATGGGTGCTGACGAACCGCGCTTTCGTGTTCTTCATGTGAGTAACATTTCGATGTCAGCCACTAAGGAACAAATCTATCAGTTATTCGCATTCATCGGTCGGATCGACGAATTCAAGGTGAATGCGTGTCTTGTACGAATTTTTTTAGTGCTTCTGTTCAACGATTGTTTCACCGTAATATTCAACAATATAAAAGTTGTTTCAGATCTGTGTTAAAAACGCATTATGCAACTGAGCATTATTTTTAGATGTATCCAACAGACACTCATCCGCAACTCTCAACGTTCTCTCAGAAATTTGCTTATGTCAAATTTGAGGAATCCAAATCTGTTGAGGTTGCGCAACATCTTACTAATACAGTCTTCATTGATCGTGCACTCGTCTGTATACCATCTATTTCGGGTAAGTATCACTTATCATTGGTGATACATTTTTTCATGGTTGTTTTATTCAAACTTATTTTTGTTCTGTCTGTCGTTTTTAAAAAATTGATGGGTATCTATTCAAGATGTAGTTCCCGATGAGGAGACGGCGCTGAAGACTGGTGGACCGGCATGGCCTGGCCAACGACAGTTGCCACCAAATGTAGTGAATCAAGTGCAAGATCTCGGTGACGGCCAACAAATGGTTATAATCATTTTCCTTGTTCTTTTCATACCATAAAATTATAAAAGTTTTATGTTAAAATACAAGGTTGTGGTGTCGTTAGCATTTTGTCAATGCATAATGATTATTTGCTGTGATAAGTGTTTTGTATCGAAATTCAAGTGTACGATTTATGATGCATCTATGTCAAATTACAATATCAAAAGAAGTGTTTCAATTGAGATTTGATAAAGCAAAATCTTTACTTTGACAGTTCAAATGATTCAGTGAATATGTTTGCGTATTTATCGTGCGCATTCATGATTTGAACGTAATCAGTCGGTTCCCTTCATATCGCATTCAGATATTCATTGCTCTTTGACGCTGTACCCACAAAGGGACCCAAACTGGAATTTTTTTGACCTCCAAAATTTAATCTTTCTGTTTGTATTACAGCATAAATAAGCGTGAAATATGGCAACGTCAATGTGTTACATGCTTCACTATGGCCTTATCGATGCATCTAAACATATTTACATGCTTTAAACTGTACATATTTAAACTATGGTGATCTAGTGCTAAAAACAAAGTTGTGCTTCGATTGCACAGTTTAAATTTATATTTTTATCGCGAAAACAACTGCACTCGGTGCTTTTTAAACGAAGTGTCTGTATGTAGATGTATAGAAGGATTGACATAGGTTCTAAGTCCGCAGATAGATATCAATTTTCAATGTGTGATTTTTTGTGATTCGAGTTAGGCTTGTTTCAAATAAGTTTCATTTTGGTTGTTCATAGGACGAAGCTGTGAGTAAATGGGATGGATCTAAGTGTGATAATAGAATGAGAAAGAAGTAATATGTTAATTTCAGTCAGTTGTTAGTGTGAGTTGTGATCACACAACACAACACCACCAAATGCAAGCGCATACGATGGTTGTTGCTAAAAGCAGTGGTGTTACTTGGTTCGTTGATAATGTCGGTGATAATGCGATACAATCTTGACTGATCATGCGCCATCCCTTTGATTAGCAACTATTTTCCGGCGCTCACTGTTCCGCATTTCAATTTCGATCCCAGCAAAGATGCTTTATGCACTGTGTGTTTGCTTCTAATTTTTGATGAACGACTATTTGAATTTCAGTTGCTTACAGTGGATCCGACGTTGACGGCGCTTGGATTGCCTCCGTATCCAGCGTTGAGTGCGAATACAGATGCGTCAAAAGTGGAGGAAATTCGTCGTACCATCTATGTCGGTAATCTACCGAAGGAATGTGATCCGCAAGAGGTGATGCAGTTCTTCAATGATAACATTGGCGAGGTTGGTTCAGCTTCTCTTACTACTGCAATAAAATTACGCTGTTGTATTTGCTTAGTGGTTGTTATTAGAGCCTTATGCATATGTCTGTTGGAGAAATAATACATTTTTACAGGTGATGTATTTGCGTATGGCTTCTGGCAATGAGAATTTGCAATGTGGCTACGCATACGTTGAGTTTACTAACCAGCCTACTGTACCGATTGCGTTACAAAATAACGGGATTGAATTCAAGGGCAGATGCTTACGGTTTGTGTTCGAATTCAGTCATGACATCTAGGCAATATCTTACTGTTGAAGGAGACGTAATTCTCAAAGTAGTGCTGATATCGAACGTAAATTGGCAAATAGTTAACGTGAAACTAGCTTATGGTGGCTTTAGAATCATGGCTTCACACCATCCCAATTTTCATTCGTTTATTTGTGTAGAACAAAATGGGATGAATTTGGGTCGTCATTATTATTTGAATCTTTCAGCATTCAACATTCAAGAGTTGCGATAATAAAGCCTGAGCATAAAACTGCCGATATGGCACTGCAAGAGGTTGAAGAGGCCATTCGGGTTAACCAAAACCCTGAAAAATCGTCCAGTGCACTCAACAAGCTGAATCAAGGTTTAGGTAAAAAAGAAAAGATTTGAAATCGACTTTCATTTGATTCTTTAAAATGTTACCTGGTGTAATAGGTTGACGATATTGCGAATATCAGTCAGTCGATTTGTTTGCTTCGTTTTAGGCATCGATAGAGCATATTCACCGTTGCGACGCTCAGTATCACCGATTCGTCGTCGAAGTCGATCGCGTGATAGGAGACGGCGGTCTAGATCAAGGTCATTTCTTATATATTTGCTGTCAAGTTTACTGGATGATGGTTGCGATCATTGGACATAAATAACTTATTTGAATTTCAGATCACGTCGGCGTCGCAGTCGAAGCCGTTCTAGGGATCGCAGAAGTCGTTCACGGTACGTTCTGTGGTTGAATTGAGCCCTTACGTACTGCAACGGTTGTTTGCGTTTGAGATTGACGTAGCATCATAAAGCAATGCTTCTCAACCTTTTCTTTTTCGACCGCACCCCTAAGAAATCTTAAATTATCCTTGCACCCCTCACGACAACAGTTGGTTAATTAGGAATAAAAGTAAACGCGAACGAATGAATATTTTGTAATTAGTTTTCAAGAGCATATGAAAAATAATCATTCAGAAAAGATAAAATATTACAAAAAAAAGTAATAGCTACGTAAATTCACAATAAATTTTCATTCATGTGTGAAATCTTCTCAAAAAATATGTCGAAGTCCACTCGCTCTTACTTTACGCATAAGTAGGCGTTGAATTCCGCCCCCGCCTGCTTTAATGTGTACAAATGAAACATTATCTCGCACCCCCTGCAATACTCTCTTGCATCTGTTGAGGGTGTGAACACCCCTGGTTCAGAAACCCTCAATTATAAGAATGTTGCGTTCCTTTAATTGTGTCCATTCTCATGACTGCGTCTACTAATTTGTTTGTTCGCAGTTTGCTTTAGGACATAGTAAAAATGTTTGTAATTGACTCACAATCAGTGTTTTGTTTTCGAATCGCAGATATTGTTAAATTATTCCAGTGAGCGCAGAAGACGTTCGCGTTCTCGTGATCGAGATAGACGTCGTTCGCGGTCAAAGGATCGCAAGGATAAAGACAAGGTAGGTTACTTTGGTGTATCATCAATTTGCTATTGAATATTAACACTCTTCTTGATGTTATGCACTCTAGGATCGGCATACGAAGGACAAGGATCGTGGAAAAGACAAAGAAAGAGAAAAAGAACGCAAAGATAGGAAACGTAGTCGAAGCAGGACACCGAAAAAGAAGGATGATAAAGATAAGGTATGGCATTATCTAGTGCGGTGTTTCTCACGCTCGGGTGCACCATTACCCATTTTGATGATTTGACACGCCGCCATTACCCCTCCACTCTAGTGATACAAAAATTTACAATTTGTACGTATAACGTCGGGAGCAAAAGGAAAGTCGGTCCGAAAATTCCTCAGTGGCATGAAAGAAATCAATTTTCTGGAACAAAACGAGTGTTTTTAGAACCTTATTTTTCCCACTGCGGAAACAATGTGAAACTCGGCAATCAGAAAAGAAAAGCAATGAAAAAACATTTCTCAGCTATAAAAAATTAAATTTAATAACCAGTTTAATTATTCATGAAGAAGGAAGATGCAATGAATATTTGAGAAATTATCTTCGAGATGAACGGAAAAGTAATCATTCCATCAAAGTGATGGTTAATGAATAAGTATATATTCATCAGAGGGATGAAAATAAATTCGAACTATCGAGGGTTTTGAGATGCGACTGGTGCAGAAATTCCCATTCCCATTTGCGAAGAAATTACGAAACAATTGTGACTACTTCAGACTGACTTTTGTTCAAACCTGGGCGAGCTAGAGACGCTCAGAAAAATAGGAACAAGAAGAATGCTGCCATGAACTAATCGCTTTTACTTACCCAAGTGAAAAAATACCATCACAATGGTGTTATGTCATAACATAGCAACTGCACGAAATACCAATTTCCCGACTCTCTTCATTATTCCCCTCTCCTCGATACCCCCAAATTACCCAAAATGAGTAATTTCAGCCCGTATGAGAACCACTGATCAGGTGATTAAAAAACACAAAAGAGTATTACATGAAAGATTAGTAATGAAAACGGTTATTATGTCGTTTCGCATTCAGTTCAGAGCAGTTTTGTATTTTGGTTGTATGGCATTACAAATGCGATGAAGTCGAAAGAACTTTGATGTGATTGTTGTTATTATCGTGGATTTCATTTCATTACGAAAGTCATAGTTTGTCCAATTACAGGATCGTAGGAAAGAAAAAGAAAGTGAACGAAAAAGAGATAAAGACAAAGGTCGTGAGAAGGAGAAAGAAAAGAAACGCGAAAGTAAAGTTGAAAAAAGTAGACGTGAAAAAGTGGCTGATAAGAAGAGTTCAAAGGATAGAGAAAAGGATAGGGATAGAGAAAGAGAAGGTGATGAAGAGATAAGACGGAAAAGCGAAAGCAACAATACTAAGACGACGACAGCTACGAGCAGCACTACAAAAGCAGATGTGAAATTACAAATTGAAGATGTAAGTTTGATTCGATTGCTTGTCACCGTTTTCATTATTAATGACTTTCATTAACATTAACGCTCTATTATAAACTATGCTCTTTGAGAAGAAAACAATGCGCTAACAGATAGAATCAAATTGTATTTGTCGAGCTATCGTCACACCGAATCCACTATTGTATGTTATTATATGAAGGTGCTTCAAATGGTAGGCATCTCTCTTAGATATGGCGAGACAGTAACTAATTAACCATCTCTCCATGGTAGGAAACATTGCACAGCTCGGTTGATATTAGGGTTTGCACAGGATCCCGGGATTTCAGTTCTGATCCCGATCCTGGGATTTAAGTTTTTAAAAATCCCGAGATTTCGGGATTTGATAAAACAGGTCAATTTGTATGAATTTTGATAGTATGCTCATCCTGAAGCAAGCCTTAATCGTTCCCATCTAATCCATATGCAGTCATCTTTGTTGTTTGCCCTCTATCATTGATGAATAGCTAAGGAAATCACATTTTCTAATAAAAACNTTGAGTCGTTTCGTCTACCGCGATTTTTTCGGCTTCAATATTCCATCTGTTAATTCAACTGCATGTTCCAAAGACTGCAAGTCTTTTTACTTCGTTATTTGGGAACGTTTTCATCCGATAGAAATATACATAAATTCTCACTGAGTTCACTCATAGTGAAAATTCATTGCCGAA